AATGTCACACACCAATTCAATGAGACACTTCAATATCTATAAATCGAGACCTCCAGATTCTTTTTAAACACTAAAAATCAATCAAATACTGTTGATTCTAAATTCACTATCCTTCCATATTCTGTAAAAATTCTTTCAAATATATTCGTGGTTATTCCGTTCGAGTACGATCATTCTTTAATTCGACGGATAAAGTTGGTATTGTGCAGTATCGACTTTGGAAGGAGCGTTATATCTTGGGATAATCTTATTTGCACTTTATTGGGGGCGAAATTTGTCTTAAGGAAATTTACTTTGGCATACCTCCTTCATCTGCTACATTTCATTTTCTGTTCTTTTTATTTTTTATTCTTTCGATTGAAATAGTCGAATTTCCGACAACACCACATTCGTATTAATTTCCAGCCTTCCCAATGGAGTGAATCCCAACTCAAAAAATACTCAACTGCTCCTAACCCAAATGTACACCCATTGTCCTTTCTTCCCACTCCTCTAACTTAGCCACCAGCTCTATTTAAGTTCTAGCCTCGTGAGGGATACCTCCGCGAAGGACAAGATTCGCCGACCCCATAGCACCCAATTCATGTTATTTCTCTCTTAGATTCAATGGTATATAATTATTTTGTACCAACATTTGTAAATCTATTCTATTCCATAATTCATGTTTGATGAGAATTGAGATCGATTTCTTGATTTGACCACGAGATCTTTGTTCAGTGTTTCATCTTTGTCGCGTATTAGACTAACAAGAAAAGAATGTAAATATGCAGGAGTATATTGGTTGTATACATGACCTAATTTTGCACAATTTTTGCTTACCGTGGAAGGAATTATTTCTGCCAAATTCTTTCCCTTCAAAATTACGATTCGTTGGCATCCTTTTTTCTACGAATTCAAATAGATACATATATTAAGATTTGAAATTTCATCTTAAAAGGTCAACATTATTAAGAGAAATGGCACAAACTCTTATAAATTGATCTATATTTTCATCTTTATTAAATGTGAGATTATATCTCTTAATATGCCCCCTCAAAATGGTGGCTTGTTTGAGCATATCAATCTTGAAATTCGTGTGTTCAATTTTTTTGAGTTTTAATCGAATCAAATTGTTTATTGGAGCTTAACCTTAACGGGAGAAATTTTTAGGCAGCAATTTACCCCTTTAAACTTTCCCCGGAAAAAAAAGCTAAAACCTCGTCATAATCTCTGCAGCTTTTGACAATACCTGAGAAAAACTGGTAATCTTTGACAGTTCTGGTTTCAAAATAGAAAATTAGAATACTACACCGTAAAACGTATAATTACTTAGAATTGACATATCCTAAGAATTCAAACTGATCAAAGTCATATAAACTTGATAAAATATTATTGTGTAAGTGTAACCGCTTACTTGGCTTTTTGGGAGTTCATAAGACATCGACATAAATTCCTACACACACATTGCATCAATACGAAATCAATATCTGTACAAACCACAAAGAGAACAAGAAAACTTAAGATGCTAGACTTATAATTATTTTTTCTTTTATAAGCAACTTTTTATTGCATACACAAAAAAAAAGAATAAAAATACACATCATGTAGAGAATAGTTGATACATGGCTTGACTTAATTTTCCTCCAAACAAAGAGGATGAAATCCCACCAAAATTTCCTTGCAATTTCCATTCCAATTTGTTCCTAATATATGGATTGAAAGGAAAGTCAATTGCAAAAGAAAGTTTCCAAATATTCAATCATTAAAATCTGCTATAACCAGACCACATAAAGAATGTTTTTAGGCATGAAAGTTGAATAGACATTGGAATGCTGGGAAAATACTAATACTAGAGAGATGAGGTCACAGTGGTTTTCTTCCTCAAGGATTGGGAAGATTATCTTCATTTTTCAAGAAATCTGTCACTTGCTACAAAAGGCACATGACATGTTTGATATTGAGATTTTAAATTTCTTTTCTTCTTCAACAATGTTGAATCAGTACAAACAGCTGGTGGGCTCGATTGAACCGGCAGTTGTCCCGGCAGCATTAGCACACGATGCTCGAGCTTGTTGATTTCTGTAAGTTAGTTTTACATTTTCCAACTTTATTTGTCGACATGGATTTGTCTTGCTACAATCAAACTTCACTGCCACTTGAGTTGCTGACGTACCTTGGATGTCTCTGTATGTAACTTCACTAATTTTTACACCTGAAACCTGACAGAATTACGAACATAAATGAATGTAAGAGCCATGTTATTGATTCTTGAAGAAAACATATCTATTCTTGAAATATTGATAATTTTTTTACTATATTTTATCCATGTTTGGTTTCATTTTCTAAAATTCGTTTTTTTCTCAAACTCATCTCTAATCATACGTTATATGGGACCCACAAGTTTTATTAACTATTATACCTCATTTTTTATCGTATTTTATCAAAATATACAAAAAATAAGAATTTTAACTAAATCAAACATGAGCTTAATATAACTATCGTCTTTAGTTAAGTTTTATCTTTTCCATACGTGAATTTAAAAATAAAATTTATTTTAAATTGTTAGAAAATTTATACCTTTCCAGGGCAGTTTTTGTTATGTGGGCAGTAATTTTGGTCAATTAGTATAGGATTGTGCACGTTGTCCATGATGGCATGCTGGAATAGAACACCCTTTACAAATCCAGTGCTTGGCCTCCCCCATGTCTTTATCCTTAAACCATTTTGTGTATTCTTAAATGTAACATTCTTAACTGTTACATTTCGTACACCGACTTCTAGATAATCCTTGCCTAGGCTTCCGATACTGCAAGTATAGGAATATGCAGTGTTAGAACTATTCATAGTTATTTACAGATTACTCTGTATCAGGACATGAACAGTTCGACTCACCTTTACACCTCTATATAACTGACACTGAATAGCATTACCTGATGCCATGGCCAGGGCCGCAAGCAACATTGTGGATGACCAAATCAGTGGTGCCTGGCCCGATTGAGATACAATCATCACCGGTGCCGATTCTAGAGCTGAATATTGTTACACCTATTGAAAATTGCACGTGAATACCGTCGGTGTTTGGGCTATTTCTTGGGGCCAAAATCTTCACTCCTCGTACTTTCACGTCTTGGCATCCATTGATTACGATGTGGAACATTTGGCTATTTAGAGATGTCAATCCAGTAATTTCCACATGTTTCGAGTTGGAAACTCCCAATGTCTGATATTAGAAGTTAATGAATGAAAAATTAATACAAGAAAATGTATGTATAGCCAAAACAAGAGTACATAATTGCATGAACTGTCATAAAGTGACAATTTGACACTTGATACGTTGAACGATCAAACTTCTTACTCTTTGACTCTTGACGCTCGACCTAAACTTATTTTTAGAATATTACTTTATACATGTTTAGAACTTGACAAGATTAAAAGAGTGACATATCGAACCAAAATACCTAATATATAGTTAATGTTTAAATTATATGTAGTTTTAAAAAATTATCTGATAAATATTCCAAGAATACCAGGGAGGTTATCTAAAGCAGTTAATTCGTAAAAATAAAAAATGCAAAAAAAAAAAATGTTACGAAAAACAAAAAGATCTAAGAAAATGTATAATGAAAAACAAGTTAATTACATGTGCATTAACCGTCTCCCCCACCACTCCCTCACTAGCAAGGAGGTTGATTAAAACAGTTATTAGTATGTAAAATTAACGCTTGAAATGGTGAAATAATGGGGTTCAGAGCATTGAGGCGACGATGTTTTCCTAATACAGAGGCTTGGAAAGGACTCGCGCCTTTTGTACCAATGGTACACCGACTAGTTTATTTTATTCAGGTATCTACTTTAGAAGAAACTTTATCGAAACTAGCTATAGATGTAGTCAGGATAGGGATATTGATATAACATGGATCAAGAAAAGACGACCAAATGAGCTTTAGAGCATCGAGACGATGTTTTCCTAATATTGAGGCTCGGAAAGGACTCACTCCTTTTGTACCAACGGTAAACCTACTAGTTTATTCAGGTATCCACTTCAAAAGAAATTTGCTCGAAACTAGCTATAGATGTAATTGAGATATGGTCATTGATATAATGTGGATCGAGAAAATACGACCAAACATACGTACCGTTGCGCCACTCGGGCAATGCTTGCCAGATTTCTTGCAAGCCCACAAGCCACTTCCTTGGCCATCAAGAGTGCCACCACGAATTGAAATCCCATCAACTCTCTCAAATAAAAGCAAGTAATTACCATTATTTCCAATCACACTGTAATCCGAAGGAGCCACTAAGGTGCTATCAATATGAACGGTTATGGCTTTGTTTTTGCATGGCCCTCTAAACTGAGCACTCTTAAGCAAGTATTTTCCTGCTGATGGTACATAGATTGTGGCTGGATTTGGGGAACCACAAGCGGCAGACCATGCTTTCAAGAAAGCAACGGTCGAGTCGGTTACGCCGTCGGGTTTAGCTCCAAACTTTAACACATTGTATGTAACTGCAATGGCCAAGGATGGACTGAAGAAGATGAAGAGAAATGCTGGAAATATGTATATGAGGTTCACCATTTTCACTTCACTAATGTGTGTGTGTGTGTGTGAGAGAGAGAGAGAGAGAGAGAGAGAGATGGGAGTTTGAATAGTGAGGAGTTGAAGCAGTTCAAATGAAATATTTATGGAGGGATTTGAATGCAGGAAAGTGGAGGCTTAAACACGAAAGTGGAAAAAGAAAGGTTTTTTTTTTTTTGTTAATCAACCAATTGATTTAGAAGCAAGCAAGGCCCCGCCGAAATAAGGATTTAGGAAGGTTACAAATTGAAATGCAACTTGGGACTCAATAAATTAGTTAATAAAACAAAATAATCTCGATTGTTTTTCTCTCGTTGTAGAAGCATAACAATAGTGAATCGACATATTCATCGATCAAATAAGATCCAAAAATATATCTTCATTAGAAATTGTGACGTGTTTAAAAGAAGTTGATCTAACCTCAAGAAGAGTTAAACAAGATTGGTTACAAGGCTTCGGATCAACCAACAATTTGAAAATTCTACTCAACCATAGTAGCAATATGAATGAAGACAAGTATCATTAAGTTGTTCCCTAGTTAAGTTTGTCACATCCGTATTAGAGCGATATAGATGATGTTGACCATCAAATTGACACGACCTCGTTAATGGAAGCTACACTTGTCTATTAATATACCCGCTTCGATTACGCTTCAAATGCTTAGAACTGAGCTACAAGGTCCACAACTTTGAATATGAATTCTAATTCAGGTATTGACTTAAACATCATAGTGCAATCGATTATTCACCCATTTTCATGGGGAAACTTGCATGTTGATTACAACTCGACCATGAATGTGAAAGTCTTAACAATTTATCTTCTAACTTCAATATGATTAGTTGTGATTACACAAACATGTCCGAACGAAAATCATTCTTTCTTAGTCCATCCTTAAAAACAATATTCAAACAACAGTTAATGAAATGAATGTTGTTGCTTGGGATATACGATTTCCACTGGATCACTGCCGTTAAAGTGAATGTATGGAAAATAGCTTAAACTTTCTTATTTCCTTTTCTGTGCTCTTTTTCTCATGTTATGCAATCCACAAGGCTCTTTCGTTTGCTTTACCTTTTTTTTTCTCAATTTTATTTTTTGATAATATTATCTAAAAATCCCTTTGTTAGAGTGAAAAAGAAAAATATATATATATTTTTTATTTATTTTTTGACAAAAAGGGGGCTCAAACAATATGTAAATCAACCATTCAGCAAGATTAAATGAATTAATATATATCGAGAATAATTAATACTTCTGAAATAGAAAAATGAAAGTGAGACAAATTAATTATTTTCTTGTATAGTTTTTTTTTTTTTTGGTACAAGTTAAATAACTCGATTAAAAAACAAAAATAAGAGATATTCATTTGGAAAGACAACCCATGGAAATTTTGATTAGTTTGAGGCGTCTTTTCTCCTCCTCCCTATCATGCCCTCCCTCTCTCTCCATTTCCAACCCCTAAAATTTTTAATGTGTTCAACCCTCCATTGGGTTCCGCAAAGAATCTGATATGGTATTGAACAGAACCAACATCAAACGTAAGGTTACAGAAGATTCTCCAAATGTCATTTTGGTGAAGAATCTGTATTTGTCTTGTGATAAACCTTCTCCATTTGTGTTACTTAGCCGATGATTGGTTATGAGGTGGCCAAAGTGGTGGACTCGACGCATCCTGACTTCAAGAAGGGCGAGCTGGTTCAGGGCAAAAAAAAACAAAGCCAAAACAAATATATTTGACATCCATGTCCACCACCACACCGCCCTCATTCTCCAGGTGTAAAACAGGTCGGGCTAGTCATCACAACTGTGTGCTCGGTCAGGCCACATACAGTCCAGGGCATCCCGGGCCATCATCCGTGCACCACAGGAAATTGCCACACTTCATGGTGACAGTTTGGTGTTACTCTTGTGGACGAAATAGTGGGAAATACCCGGGTCACCCGACCAATTTTTCAAAATAGCCGTTGACTGGCTAAAAAAAATTTCAAAGTTTAGCATTTTCACAATTTTAACCTCACAAGTGCCTTGGAAGAAAGTTGGGAAAGAAAAAAAAACTCCATAAACGTGCAAGGGGGACCAAAATATCGACGGCTCAGACCGGCATCGC